CGCGCCCGCCGCCATTATTTGCATCTCGTGTTTATGGCGTGGCAGGTTTCTCGGAAAGTGTACTTTAAGCGCAAATATATTTATTAAAATAATAATTAATGATACACACATTTTTGTTGATTTTATTAAAAAATGCTAGTTCCATAATGGGGTTTGTGAGTCGTTTATTGTCTTTAGGATAATTAAGCCAAAATGCATTTCTACTCGCAGAAAATTTACCTTTACCTTGAAAACCTCTCGAGAAAAGTACGCTCAAACCAGTCGTTTTTCTATTCTGACCAAAATTATCAATAAAAAGTAATTTATTTAAAATCAACATTTTGTGTCAAATTTTAATCTGAACACAATTTTGTTAGAACACTTTTACAATTCAATTTATGTACCAATTCTTGCCAAATAATTTCATCGCTCAGCAGGATATTGTTTTATTTTTTCCTGTAAAACAATAATCAACTCAAATAAACCACCGAGGAATTGCCGTTTTTATTAAATTAATTTGAATCTACCCTTGATCGTAATTATATTCTTCTCTACAAAACAAAACAAAAGAGATTTGCTACGGATACATAGTTTTTCGCTGGCTCACTTTTGCACGTAAAAAATAAACAAATATTATACCTATAAAAACAAAGAAAGTTTTATCTTAAGAAAAATCGTGATTGAAAAACTTTTACATTGAGCAAAAAATGTGACATGACAAATAATGAGAATGAATCAAAAAGTTTTTTTAGAAATGTAGGTCAAGCAAATTACATCTGCGATCAGAATCCAACATCCCATTATGCCAGCAATCAATTTTCGCGAGCGGCGACTTCGGGAAAAAAAAGATACCAGTCGCACTTCGTTCATCTGTGGTAACGAACGGTTCTTACACTCGCAATTTCTCGCGCGGGGAATCGATTCGCGGCGTGAGAGTAAAAACGGATTTATTTATTTGCAACAGCGGTGCCGCTGGCGTCCCATCGTCAATTTCCAATTATAATAAATCTGCACCGCTCTCGCATTTCACCGGAAAGAGCGAGCGGGATGTCATTATGCTACCGGAGCGTCGCGGTCGTTATTTCCGAGCTTCGTTCCTCATCGCCGTAACGAGCGAATAATTTATCACATGTTGCATTAACCCCAGCTTTCTTACACGCCAAACACCACTCGCCAACATTGGAGACTTTTTATGACCTAAATTATCTTTTCCTCGTGTGGTTAACCCAGCAGCAACACAAGAATAAATATCGATTTTCCTTAATGGTTTGTTGCTACAGAAGGAACAGATGAAATTTGTGTTTTGAATTTTAACTGATAAAATAGTCTTGTTAAAGATGGAAAAATTTAACGAATTTGATCAAATTTAACGAAATTACAAGTTGAAAAAAGTTCAAAATCGACAGTTTATATTGTCATTTAATAAATTTGCAGCAGTCAAATATTTTTATTTGTCAAATAACAAAATTAAATTTTGTTGAACATTTTATCATGGTGGCGGAGCAAGATCTTGTTTGCGAAAGTTATTTTAACACTTTTTCCTGGATTGCAAACATAACGACTCGTTTGTAATTTTGGGCAGAATTTCCCCTTATTTTACAAAGGCTTAATTTTCCTCTCGTTACTTCCACCAAGTGCACGCGACAAAGCCTGTGATGAAAAAAGGCAATTGAAAAAGGGAACTTTTTACAACCTTATCTGAAATGCGAACCCTTATTGAAAACGTCAGGATGAAACAGCGTTTGCAATAAATAAAAAAGCCAATCTTTTGTGCTCAACGAACGGCCCACTTTGTTATTCATCTGGAAGCGAGCGCTCTCGCTCATTTTCCGCCCGGCCGCCCTGCGCCCCTGAAATTTATTTTTTACTCGCGTCCGCCGCACGTGTTGTAAAATCCCTTCAATCAATCAGCCGGGCACCAGCGCCTCGAGGACGAAATTTCCGCAGAGGAAAAAAAACTCCGCCCCGATTTTTTGCATGAGAGCGCCAAAGTCCGAGCGGGCAGATAACCCGAAAGTCCAGACATCAATCAAGCCGCAATAATCCTGGCAATGATCCGCAGGTACGCATTACGACTAGAGTTCGTTTGTTATTGCCTTGGAAAACGACGAGTAATGCGGATGGGCAGCCAACCAAATTGCAAATTCCTGTCCCGCCAAATGCCGGGACGGACTTTCGACTGATGGATTGGAATTTCCTTCCTTCCTTCCGCACATGTTACTCCACCACCGGCTCAATTCAATCGCCTGATCCGTTTCTGATCAGTGAGTGCTTTGCCGGCAAACCAAATTCATAAATTATCCACAAGTTTGCTTGCTTCAAATTGAGCAAATAGATAATATTTTTGGAGTTTCCATAATTTTTGTCAAATCCAACATTTTTTCCAAATTAAATTACCGTTGAAAGAAATTTGAAATTGAATCATTAAATTATAAATTAATGACACTGCAGAAGTATTTTCAACAAATTTAATTAATAACTTTGCTGTGTTCAATTTAAATCAATATTTAGCTGTTCTATTGAATTTCCACTTCAGAATACTGCGCTCTTCAATTTCAGTTTGAGTTTAATCATTCCTCATAATTAAGCATCACGTGCCATTCTAGAAAATTATCGAAGCATGGGGTGCGATCTAATTTAAGCGCGCAAAATTGCCTCGTAATTTCACGTCCCTCTCGCTGCTCAATCGCAGCCGCGTGTAATGTGTAATTTACGCTCGAAAAAGCAGGCAATTTAGTTGCGCACCAGGGCCAAATTTGATTTGAGCAAATTGGGTTGATGGCGTGTGGATGCTCATTTATTCCGAGCAGCATCTATCTCTTACCTGCGATGCGCCGAGATAAGGCCCTCAGGGAGGCAAAACACCAAAATTCGCGCATCTGCTTTCACGTGTGTGGGATAATCTGACGAGGGAGATCGCATGCACATCCCGATATAATTGGCCCCTTCACAGGCCAGGAACCAAAGCCATCACTCAAATCTAAGCTTATATCTTCATTTCTAAGATAAGCCTTAATTATTTTCAATTTCATTGTTGTGAATTGTCTTATTGAATTTTTTAAATAAAATACTAAATATTTTGACTTTTGTATAGAATATACTAGTGAGTCAATTGGTTGAATATTTATTACAGCTAAAAATTGAAAAAAAAAAATTAATGCTTATTTTAAATTAAAATGATTTTTTACTCCATAGAATTCAAAACCGCTGCATCAATAAACGTGGTTTTAATATTATGAGCTTTAAAATAAATTATTTTAAATAAAATTTGAGCACTAAAAATAGTAAAAAATATTAAATTTTTAAGTAAATTTGTTTGATAAAACAACAATACAAAGTTAATGTAATGGAGCATAATATATTATTAAATTTATGGGCAGAAACATGCAAGGTATTGCAGAGTAGAGATATTGCCAGAATGGAATACTAATTTGTGAACATAATGAATTTGAGACCATAATTTTGTGTTTACGCCCAAGCCTATTAGTACCGCACGTGGAAGTAGAGATGCATCCGCAGCAGACTACATGGTGGGTGTTGTCAAATTAATTATCCGGCGTGTGCGGTGGAGACTAATAATCAAGCATTAATGCTCACGGCGCATCGGGGAACAAGGGCTGTGATGGGTGTGCCGCCGGGCAGAAATATATATTCGGATTTTCGTCCCCTCCTCTTGGCTGCATCCGATACGAGATGCGCAATTTAATCGAGTCGTCAAGCGCAGGAAATTGGACAATTGCAAATGACCATCGCTATTTATCATTGCTGGGGGATTTAAAAAAATTATATTTAACATGAGATAAAAATTGAGCTAAAATAAAAATAAGAAGTCTATCTTATGACGGGTTTGTACTGAAGTTCAGTGCTGTTTGTTTGCAATCTTGAGTTTTTAACATTCCAAAGAAAGTCCTAGGCACGGCTTATCGCGAATCTCTCCCGTCGAGGAGCAGCTGAACAAACTGCCGAGCCCGTTCATCAACTCGACATGCTAAAGTCGAGTGTCAACGCGAATGAGAGAGACTGCCGTGAGAGCACAGTTTTTTTCTATGCACGTCAAGCGTGGCCATCTTCAAAGAGGAGCGCCTGAACAAAACAGAGTTAGGCAAACCAGCTCGGCACACGTGACAAGCAATTTGCCTAAGCTCTGCTGGCTGGTCCGGTGCTGATGGAGTGCAACCCATTCTTCGTCGCTCTAGAGAGATGCACTCTGCATTCATAAAACGTGCCTCTTTTGAAAACCTGCACCGAGCATTTAATGTAGAGTAAGCAACTAACTATTTTTACTCCTCGTGTCGACAAACAAAGAACGTTCACTTGACCTGGATGATTGAAGTACATCTCGCCTGAGATTAATTAAAAATTTCCACCTCTGCGCCCTATTCTATAGAAACTGAGGAGCATGAATATCTCCGCTGTAACTTCATACCTTTTTTTCATTAAAAAATGAAAAGATGTAAATTAATCGCATGATAAATTCCTGGAATGGATGGATAGAATTTTTTAACACATCATGGTATAATATAACTTTACAGTAAAATAGTGAAAATAGTGGTGATATTTATCATTCATATATGAGCAGCTTTAGACAAGCATTCACGTAAAAGATAAATATTCCACTAACCCTATATTATATGTTCCGTTTTTTTTTTTTTAATATATTTTGCTAAATATTTTGTCTTATTCAAAATTAAATTAATTTTTTATAAAATTATGAAAGCTTTTTGCTTATTATATCTAAATGAAGCAGATAAACATTTAAAATTATTTCAGTGAAACCGAAAATTCCCACAAAATTCTCGTTACTTATTTACACCTGATGTACCTGTTAAATGAATTATGAATTGCATTTTTCTCTTTTGTGTATGGCAAATTCTATAATTTTATTTTTATAATTATATATGATTGATGTATTATTAGTCAGATGGTATATCAAAAAATAAGTCAAAGAAACTTTGCAATTAAATGTATATAAACATTAACAAAATTCTAGTTAAGCTAATACAATTTTCATGTTGTTGCAGTTTCGCAAGTTGCTGGTTTTCCGCAGACCTCGAGCAACACCGGACGTCTCTTTTTCCGCGGCCAGGAGGTGCCTACGCTGGTAAGTGCCGCTATTTCAATCTATTCTGCCCCTTTCCCGACCGCAGCATAATGCGAATCTGTCTGGCGCGAAATAAATTCGTCCATCCGTCGGCGGACTCTACTGCTCTGGAGCGCAGCTTACGTTTGGGTAAAGCGGCTTTCAGGCCCGACACCGGATATTACCCTCTACCTTTCGCAGCCAGGGGTGCAAATAATTTCTGTGCAAATGTTTGCTCATTGTTCGGGCGCTCCAGTTTAATCACATTTTTGCTCTGACAAGAGCGCGCTCGCTGCTGGCGTGCGGAACGGTGCCGCCAGGTGCTGTTTTTAGGCAGGATTAATATTTGATTTCCGTGTGTAGGAAAACTACCAGCTGCTTCTGTTTGCCAGTTTTATCACAATTTGGGAAGTTATAATTTCAGAAAATTCATCCAAGTTCATTGCAGAGAAAATTTAAAATTTCTAGAATTTAAACTAATTCTTTCATTTTATAAACAAAAATGTAGCAAAAACTTTGATAATTTCAATTCATTTCTTTTTTTTACATAATACACATTTTAATAAGGGTTCTTTTTAAAACCATCCCATTATGGTTCGTAATTAATCAAATTTCACAGTCAATTTAAAAATCAGTTTGTTAAAAATATTTGATAATTTCCTACAAAGCAAATGTTGATGACAAAACCTAACAGAATTATTAACTTTGTTTGCTTTCTGCAGATTGTTTCTAAGTAGAAACTTTTGTAGAAACTGTGTCGCTATCGGTCTTGTTTGCCGACCGTAGGCCAGGAGCGTACACGGTGCGTGAGTGAATGTTTTCGGACGAAAAAGTGCCACGGGAGGGAGCGTGGAGAGGATGGCGAAGAGCACTCGTCGCCGGAGAGAGTTTTGAAAGGCTGTTGTATCAAGCAAATAATGAAGAGATATGTTTGCTCTACAGAAAGGGGGCGCTCGTTCGTTCGCGTCAAATGGAAAAGGCCTGTTTCTTCGCACCCGCATGGTTTCTGTGCCCAAGAAATAATCCTCTCTCTCTCCGGAGAAGCGCGAAATTTTGTATACGCATATTTATGAGTTGCGTTGAATTTCAAAATTCGCAGAAAGTTTCTTTTGGGCGTGTCTCTTTGTATTTCAAACTTGCGATTTTGCATGGAGAGGCACCAAATGGAATGTCGCAAAATGATGATTTTAGAAGTCGTTCTATACTTGATTAGAGATCAAAATTATTTCAAGGGTTACAGCTTAATTTTTCCTATTATAAATTAACTTTTTGGCAATGCCTACGTCTCAGTTCTCAAACTATTATTTAAATGATTTTACTTTTAAATTTTTATTATTGTATATAATCCTTCGTTAAGAATTAGAAATTCAACTACATAAACCATCAATATTCGCCTTTTAACTACACTGTAGAAGTTACTGGAAGTTACTGATTTAGTTGTTAAAAATAAATAAATGAAGATTATTAAATTTACACAAGGCAATATCTGCAAATATAGTGAGTATATTTAACAAAATTAAATCTCTAAGTGCAAATACTTTATAATTTAACTGATTAAATTATTTTATTATGTCTTTTTATGGACAGTTAGAAAAACATAATTTTAAACTAGATTTGGTTTTATTTGATAAGTTTCAGTGAACTTATTATGGTTGAATTATTTTATAAATTAGTTAGAGTAATAATGGCACTCTGAGATATTTTACACTTAAGAACAATACAATTCATTTTTATAATTCCTTTTTTTCTTTTCATATGATTTGGAACTTTGGATAGCTGACAAAATCTCTTTGATGCTTTTCCCTGCATAAAGACGAGCAATCTCAATGCAAGATCTCTTTTTCATACATTCGCGTGCCTTAAGCTTGGAGAAGTCCCAAAACTGATAAGATGCCAATAAATAGGAATATCATTGCGTAACTGGAGAAGTTATCGAGCTGCTGTCTCTTCCACTCCTAGTAGGGTTGGATTCAAGATGTTGGAGCAAATGTGCTTTAAATTCTTGCCCTTCTCGATTGTTGCCAATTCGAATGAGAGGATTCGCAATCAGTTTGAATCAAGGAGCTGATTTCAGTAGTTATTTGCCAAAGCTCTCGCGCAAGAGGATTATCCAATTTGCTTCTAGAGACAGACAAAAGCAAAGAGAGACGCTGCTGAAGTCGACAATCTGGCTGCTGCTTTGTTAATTAAAGGTTCGTCGGCGGTCGGTGCGCCGCGAACCGCGACGACGTGTTTCCACGGCGCCTGTCTCCGTGTTACAACAAAAAGCACTCGACTGTGCATGAATTGTTCGTCTGCTGTCTGCCTCTGCAGAAAACGCGCAATTTTTAATTCAAAATCGATCTCAAGAACGGGTTTTAGGCCAAGAGGCTTTAATGAAGGAGATGGGTGTCGCTGCCAAACTGTCAAGAGCAAAAGCGTTCTTACAGGAATATCTTGTTAATTAGACTCATCGTGCAGGCGTGGGCATGAAAAGAACACACATTAGGCCGGATGGAATTTCCAAGAAAGCGATGAGAATTTCAGTGAAAAAAAAATGAAGAAAATTGCAGAGCGTGAAATTCAGATGTAAATTTTTTAATGAACCAAATTGAACTAAATAAATGATCTAAAACAGATCGGAGTAATAAAATAATTTTTTTTTTAAATCAGTTTAAATTTAATTTAAACTCCTAACGAGAGAAAGCCAGTCAATAAATTTTTAGTCAAATTTTAGTCAATTTAAATAGAATATTTAACATTATTACTTCGCTGGGCTCAGAATTTTGCACATCAATAAAAAAAGACGAAAACCACGCATTTTCTACATAACTTGGAATCCATTCGAAGATATTCAGACATAAGAAAGGTACTTCAAACCTAACGGGAAAATAATTCTCAAGGCAGTAAAGTGTTTTACGATCGCATATCCATCCATCCGTTCTTACGATTGCTTCCTTTCCCATCTGCATTCAGGCCGTTTTATGTCAGTCTTTGAAGTCGACAAGCCGACAATTGATGACACGCGCCCGGAGATTATATTATTTTTCAGTGGCGGGGCAACAGGTGCCGAATCCATCAATGTGCCAACGCAATATTTCATTCGCTGCACCTTTTGTGTGTTTGTGTGATATCATAATGTAATGTGCGAATCGGGTGCCCGAGGCGCCTGCATGATCATGGCGAACTATTTCATCGGCTGGCAGGAAATTGGAAAAGTGCAGCGCCAGATCTCGTGAGAGATTTATCGTCCACGCGCCGCTGAGAATTTACTTCATATTTTGGCAATCTTCGACCCCTCTCAAAGACGATCTCCTTTACCAAAGGAAGAAGAATAAGTGCGGGATTCTTTTTAAGGGAGTTTTTTTTATTTATGGTAGATAGAGAGATTGAAGCAGTCACTGACAAGAAACATTAGTGTGATCACTGATCACCTCTGCACTTATTATATGTTATAGTTAATATTTTAATTATCATCAATCAAAATTTCTATTATACAATCATTATATTTAAAGGTTACCAGCATTTCCGTAGTAGAATTATGTCCAAGCAAAGTAAAGAAAGCTAGCAGGATTACCAACTAATTATATAAAATTTCATAAAAAAAAAAACTGCCTTTTATACACAATTAAAAAAAATTCTACAATTACAAGAAGATTCCAATTATTTTTTACAAGCCTAACTTTCCATTCTACTTATTCCCTCAGGTGACAAAAAGCAGAGAAGCATCGAAATTTGCTACGAATCGTGCTTTTCCTCGGACCCTTGCAGCTTACTAGGAATTACGGAGATTGTGGTATTTTTCCACTTCATCACTAATGCTCGCAGAGGCTTAGTGTCCACTCCGGCTTTCCTTTCCGTGTTTGCAAATGCGGAATAGGCTTTTTAGTCAAGGAAAAGTATTTTTTGCTTCCCACGCTTCATCTGATCGTGAGATGAACAACGCAACTTGTATAAACAAGACGAAAAGTTTTCCCTAATTCCATTTTAAAATAAAAAATTGTATTTAATTCTCAAAGGAATCAAGGCACCATTTAATTTATTTTTCTGCGCACGCAAACAAGAAAAGAGGTTGCTGTTTGCTGTCTGTGTCGCCATAGCATAAAAATACGACGTTCCCATCATGTTTATGGAGGAGCATTTGGCAATATTTGTCGTCCGCTGGCGAGTTTTACTCCGTCGGGCAGAATAAATCTTGCGCACGCCAGAGGAGCGAGAGAGGCCCGTTTGTTTGTCATCTGAAATGAAAGTGCGCATTTATTTATTTATTCAGCAGCGGCGGCGGCACAACATAAATTTATGTGCGAGAGAGCAAAGCAGGCTATTTGGCTCGAGGGCCATTCATATTTATTATTTACCCTTTTCGAGCTCGACGCCATCGTCCGCTGTGTTTGAGTCGCACACACGTGCAATTTTCCATAACTTTCTGCTATTTTCAGACACGTTGAGTCCATAAATCAGTTTTCCGCCTTTCCGTGAGAAATGCAGATTTGGGTTGAGAGCAGGGAAGGACGCGCCACCTAATCCGCTCACGAAAGTAAAATTTTTCTTCTCTCTTTACGACCTCCAGCCTAAAAAAGAGATTTCACCCGCAGACATTTTTGCCAGCTCGGTGAAATTTAGTACGTCTGACAGAGTGAAAATTCTATTTGCAACGGGCGAATTTGTTAAGAGCAAAGTGCGGGAAAATTGTTCTCGAAGAGAAATTTTAATAGTTAATAGAATTGAAAAATGTAACATTTTTTTATTGTAGATGAATTTTTTTAATTTTTCAATGTTTCATGTTTCTACGTTAGAATTTTTCAATAAGAGCCCAATTTTATTAAGTAAATTTATATTTTTCCTACAGTTCACTTTTTTTTAATTTATATTTGATTTATGGAAAATCTTTCCAGATATTTAAATAAGTTATTAATCAATATAACGGATTAAAATGAAAATTATTGCGTTGAAAATAAACCATGTTTTCTAAAATTCGTTAAATCACGTTTATTAAAATTTTTCAAATCACATATATTAAAATTTATAATAGAACCATTTTT